GGAATACAAAAAGATACATCAGACGAGTTACTGTAATTTATTTAATTTTGTCTAAATGAAAATTGAAAATTATATTGTATACTTAGAAAAAATTATGGTATAATATATATAATATTATGGTTATAATTTATTTAGTAATATGCAATACAAGATAAGGCGATTTATTGAAATAAATTATCATTTTAATAAGACATTATCCATTAGTTGTTTATAATTTTATTAATTAGGTACTTACTATTTTTTTCCTAATGTATAAAGATTCTTAATAGTTATTACTTTGTTAATTATATTGTTTTAAATTAAAACGAAAAATTTAGATTTTCTTAGAAATGTTAAAATTTGGTAGATAGGTACATTAGGTATTGTAAACATAATTACTATACATATAATATACGATTACTACCGCATATAGTGATGCATTAATAAATAAATAAATAAATATGTAAAACCGTATTATATAGTACCTACTACCAGTACTACCTATATTTGTTAAGCTATTATTTAATAATAATAATTTATAGAAAAATATTTAATCATTTAAAATTGTTAGGCATTTCTATTACAGTATTATGTATAGTTATAATTGCCTACTGCCTATAAATGCCCACATAAATTATTTAATTTAAATATAATATTTCTAGATTTTGTGTGTAATATTTTTCATCAAATTAACTTAAATCTTTTTTTCAATTGATCATAGTAAGTAGGTATACTACTATTGGCAATATATAAATATTTATCTTATTTAAAAATGTTATATTGCTTTTTGTTTCAKATCAAATACAATAATGCAATAAAACATAACATACATTTTGTCATAATAAAAAGAAGTTTTTCTATGTCTAAATATATTATACGTCTGCAATGATTGTGACGGATACTACAGACGTGCCATTTGAGAGGAGTGATATATTAATATTGCTATTATAGTAAGCATGTAGTATAGTAGGTTGAATTAATTTTCACTTCAAACACTRCATTTGAAAATGCAGACACGAAAAAACAAAAATCTCAAATAATTTAAAAATCAATATACAGTGAAAACTGCCTATAAGSGACATTTGCGGGACCATAAAAAGTGTCCGTTAAAAACAGGTCTACTTTAAAGAAAAGTTTCTGATCATGCCAATCTCGTCCTTGTTATTTTGTGGTGTTCGTTATATGAGGCKTATATAGGTTCAAAACCAGCCGAAAGCACATTTCTTGAAATGTTTCGAAAACATCGTCAGATAGGTGATTTTAAAACCAAATACAATTTTCTATGGTCAATTTAGACCACTTACCTATAACCTTATTTGATGTTCAATATTTTTACAGGAATTGTTATTCGGTGTGGCCATTAAAAAAAAAACCAGTTTTCGAAAAATGAGATATAATTTTGAAATTATACGCCTCATATACAGGTACCTACTATATTAATTTTAAAATTATTGGATTTTTTGCCTACTTCCAGCAAAACCGTGTGGGCAAGTCACGTTGAATTCATAGGTCCGACGACTAGGTGATACTGTTCAACGCCAAACATCGTTGTTACACTGTATGTATAAGTACCTACCTATACATTAATCTTTTTTTTTTTTTTTATTGGAATAAAAAGCTTCAACATCCCAGGTCATTAGCCTAAAAGTAATTAACATTAAATTTTTGATTTATGTTTACGAATTACGATTAATTTTTAATCACCAAGTTAAACAAATTGCGAATCAATTGCAATTGGAATATCTATGCATATCAGCATATCTCGAGACTACGGTACGCTGTGTCAAGTTTAAACCTAAGTTAACTCTTTAWAGGGCATTAGTTAAAATGTGAACAGAAATGGATGGAATTTTCAGAATAACATAACTATAGATAGAGGATACTAAAATAAATAAATAAAAAAACATATTTTTATTTGTAGGGGTTGAATTGGTGGTGGGAAGTTATGGGAAATTATTTCCCAATGACCGTTCTGCTYATACAATACTTCCACGCGGTTACAGGGATATTATTTCCCACCGACTCTGATATTTGAGAAAYTAATTTTATGTATGAATTACTATAAGAAATTAATTATTTAGCAAACACAAATATAAATGTGAATGACATCAACATTGCATTTAAAAAAGTTTTCATCTGAAAAAAACTTTTTATTATTATTTTTTGTTTATTTTATTGAAATATTTAGTGATGTATTTTTTCATTTGAAGTTATACATATTCATAATCTGTAGATAATAACGAATTAGATTATACTTACTTTAAACTTTTTATGTCAAAGTTTAGTGTACTAATATAGTAATATTTACTTTAAAAAGATGCTTAAATAATCACGGCAAAATTGATTATCTTTTAATCAACCGTGAAAAAATAAATAATAATGAACAAATATTAATGATAACATTATAAAAACGCGCGTATTGTAAATTATCATTCAAAATAATCAATTGCTTAAGTTTTCGTCTAGAACATTCGATAAACTATGGTAAATTAAAAATAAACTGAAGTGTAGTAAATAAGATGTGTACCGAATGGGCACTGGGAAATAATTTCTCACTAGTTTACTTGTAAACCTATATTTTAAAAAAAGATGGCGTTGTATGCAATATAAAGTTATGACTAAATACAGAAAAAAATCACCGATTTTTCCATATGCATATTGTATTTTACAGTTCTACATATAACAAATTACAATTTTTTTTCATTAATGGGAAATTATTTCCCTCTACCCTATAAAGGGTTTTAAACAAAAATCAATCATCATCAAATTTGCAAAATTTCAAAACTTCAAAAAAGTACAAATGCCAAAATCAATATAAAAACTAAACGGATTTTTTTCCGACTTTCCATAAATATATATTTATTCTGGTTAAGTATAATTTGTATAAATATATATAAATATATCAAGTGATTTTGCAATCCAGCAATCCCATAATTTCGATAAAAGAAAAAAAAACAGTTAATTTTGTGGCTTTCCTATATTTTAATCGCAGTTATATAAATTACTGAGTTATGGTAAATTATTTGGCCACGATACTATAATATGACGATGCACAAGGCCATAGTCGTCAGAAATAGACGTTTCTTTAGGTTTCAGCACCGTTATCAAGTTTTATTCTCATAAACATTAATTTATGCGAGATTAATTATAACAACATAGGTACCTAGGTAAGTAATTTTTATTTTGACAAACTGGCATTTTTAGGGTTTTGCTTAGCATATTGAGACATATGTCACATGTAAGTCACGATACCATTTAATTTGTGTTTAATTACTTTATGATTTTGTAAGTTGTAGTTGCTGTAATATTGTATTAAATGAGAGGTTATTTTATGTACTTATATCAACTACAGACATACAAAAACGTTAAACAAAGGTCTAACGGCAATACCATTTTAAAATTTCGTTCAACTGGATGCACGAAGGTCATCTTTCGTTTTATACCAATGGACGTCACGCGTTTGGGTGAATTTTTAAAAATTGCAATGTGTTTGGGCAATTCAGCATAATGCGTTTGGGCGACCATTTTTTATTATTTATTTTGAATACCCTGTGATGCTGTATTTTATCAATCCATTTTCCCTCTTATTTTGACAGACTTGGGACTGTTAAAAATGATAATACCGACCTCAAAATTCAGCAATAAAAAAAAA